GCCCAGCCAAAAAGAAAAAGCTACCCCATCAATTTTACCAACTCTTAGTATAGACAACACAATTATTAAATGAACTCAATCATCTAAATTTCTTTTGTATTTCGTGTGCGAGATTTTATCATTCAACTCTCACATAAACACCATTAATACAAAAATCTCAAAAAACATTGGTCTACTCTATAAAGCAAGAAATTATCTATCGTTCAAAAATTTAAAACTTCTTTGTTTTTCCTTTATACACTGCTATCTATTACACAACTATCTATCATACGCCAATATAGCATGGGCAAGTACCCATAAAACTAAACTAAGTTCATTCTGTAGTCGGCAGAAACTCGCTTCGAGAATTATATTTCAATAAAAACAAACTGAGGCAAACCCATTACGAAAAGATGAATGCTTTAAACATTTACCAAATCAATATATATCAAAATATTTTGTTTATGTTCAAACATAAAATGGGATCTGTTTCAAGTTAATTTATAAAAAACTTTTTTAAAACTAATATAAATAAATTTAGCACTAAAGCAACTGGAAACTATATAGTACCTTTGAAAAAAAAGAAAGCTATCCCAATTTTCTATAGCATATCGTGGTCCTTACTTGTATAACAAATTAATACCAAAAAGTTCCTCAATATCCATCCTAAAAAATATAAATTCCTTAAAAGCTAATCTTAAAAAACTCGTCTTAGATGCAAGCAGTTATATGGAAATTTTCTAATATCTTATGAGTAATTCAAATATCAAAAATGTCTAAAAAAAAAAAAATTAAAACTTAAATATATAAGCAAGTATGAATATACACATGTATATGTGTATATGTGGATGTGTATATATGTGTATATGTATATATATATATATATATATATATATATATATATATATATATATATATATATATATATATATATATATATATATATATATATATATGTATATATATACATATATATGTGTATATATATGTATATATACACATATATACATATATATACACACCCACACATATACATACGTATGTATGTATATGTGTGGGTGTGTATGTATGTATATATACTTGTATAAGTTATGTTTATGTTATGCTCCTTCCTAATAACACGAATAATTATATTAAAAAATATAATAAGTAATAAATAAAATAATTATGAGTATCTCATAAAATTATTTAAAAAAAAGGGTTCTCGATGACAAGAATGCACACAGTTTTCTGCGAGTTTCCCTTGACTTCATAACTAAAGGTTTATTATTTTCTTTTTTAAGACTCATTTTTTCTTTAAACTGTAAAACTATTTTACTTATTTTATTACTTTATATATTAAATATATCTAAATATTATTTCATTTATTTTTGATGCATTTTTACTGTATTTGCAATAAAATTATATATTGTTAAAACTATGTAGTCGAAAAAATATATGGAATGCCAATTTTTTTCATGGCTTTACTTTTAACTGATATAGAATGAAGTTCTGTAGAGACGCTTTTAATATTACCATGTTTTTGACATTGCATACATTTTTTAATAAATTTTTTAACATCGAACTTAATATTATGCTAATAGAACCTATTAGAAATTTTTTGATATGTTGTATCTCTTCTACAATGTGAGGCCATTGCTTTTACTTTTGCATCTTCACTAAGACCAAAATTAATGTCAGATATTATCTTTTGCTGTTGATCTTTACAAGCAATGACTAACTTTTCACTGCGGTACTATATTTGGCCACATACAATGCTAAAATGTTTGCAAGCTTTTCAAAGGTTTTATTTTTTCCCTTTGTCACCACGAATTGCTTGAGGGTAAATTTTTTCCTTCACATAGTTTTCTATTGTTATAAAATCAATATGTCGTACGATTTTATTTTAAAAAAAATGTATGGAATATTAATGTTGTAAAATTGTTAGCTATTTGTTATATGAGAATAACATATACTATAAAATAATGTTACCCGTAATTTGATTCACTACAACTTATAACCTGTATTTCAAATACTATTAGGTATACAATTAGTGGTAGTTTTTCAAATATCCAATTAACCATAAGCAAAATTACAAAATGTGAAATCGATCGTCGTTTTTTTTTTTTTTTTTTTTTTTTTTTTTGTCATTAAAAAATAATCTTTTACAATGTTTTTACAACATAAAAAATGTAACATTAAAGTTTCGACCGGAGCTGGCAGAAGACATGGTCTTATCATACAGCCCCGTTAATTTAAACTAAAAAATTCAGCCGATAAAAATGAAAAAGGAAAAAAGAAACTAAAGCAAGAACTGATTTAAAAACAATTTTCTAATTACAGAAAAAAAGAAAAAAAAAAAATTAATTATTTCTTCTCATTATTGTTATTTTTTTAATTCTCTATCTAATTCTACTTTTATTTTTAATATACACGCACGCACACACAGACACAAATATGCACACGTACACACAAATATATGTCTGTTCATAAATATAAACATACAAAATCAAATAAATCTGTTTTATATTTCATCTAGAAATTGCGTAAGATATAATAAATATTGCAGTTTCAAATTGCGTTAATTATTGTAAAATAAGATAATCTTATACAAGTTACCATACAATATAATTAAGATTTTAATAATAGGATAGTAATTGCTTTGAATCAAAATCAAATAATTGTTGTTTTGTTGCACGTTTAAAATGTTGAAATGAATTTAAAGTTTTTATATTACTTGTTAAAAGCAAGTTCCATAACCGCGTTCCTCGGCAAGATATCGAAAACTCAGCTTGTTTTGATAACGTTCTTGGTATAGTAAAATTATTTGTTGAGTATTTAGTTTCGTATTTGTGGTTAAAAGAAAAAAAGTAATTTTGGAAAATGCTTGGTAGCATACCATTTTTAAACTTAAACATAAAAATAACTATATTAAGAATATTTATTTCATAGACCTTCGGCACTCCAATTTCTCTTAGTAGTGGTCTGGCACTAGCTTATTTATTTGCATTTAATATCAAACAACCTGCTCGTTTTTGTATTTTGTAGATCATATCTAACTTTGTAAGATAAGTACTTGCCCAGATAATGTTGCAGTAGCTGATGTAGCAATGAATAAATGCAAAATAAATTTTTTTTAAACAATTTGTGTTCAGGAGATGTTTTGTTTTATACATAATACCAATAATTTTAGATATTTTATTTTCTATTACTTTGATATGATTACTCAAGCTAATATGTTCATTAAATATTACGCCTAAAAATTTGATTGAGTACTCTCGTTTAACTTTAGTTTTATCAATTGGTAAATCAGTTAGTTTTAAGGGGAGGGTTTCCGATTTTGATAATTTTGTAAAAAGAATATATTTACTTTTTTCAACATTTAAAGAGAGTTTTTTAGCCTTAAACATTTGTTCAGGTTTTCACGTTCTTGATTAACAGTGTTAAATAATAGGCTAATGTTTGTGTGGCTAAAGAATACTTGCGTAACATCAGCAAAAAGTACAACATTAAATATGTTAGAAGATAAGTAGATATCGTTAATATAAACGAGGAATAATAATGGACCGAGATTTGATCCTTGTGGGACCACACACGTAATGTTTTCAAGTCGAGTTACAGTGTTGTTATATGATAAAGCTTGTTTCCGATTGTTAAGGTAAGAGCGAAAACATTTTAAATTGTTATTTCTTATTCTATAATTATACAGTTTATAACGAAGAATTTTTTGGTCAACAGTGTCAAACGCTTTTGAGAGATCAAGAAATACCCCAAGAGTGTATTTATTGTTGTCAAACCCTTTTAAAATTTCATTGACAAGTTTGGCTACAGCGTTTCAGGTTTTCACGTTCTTGATTAACAGTGTTAAATAATAGGCTAATGTTTGTGTAGCTAAAGAATACTTGCGTAACATCAGCAAAAAGTACAACATTAAATATGTTAGAAGATAAGTAGATATCGTTAATATAAACGAGGAATAATAATGGACCGAGATTTGATCCTTGTGGGACCACACACGTAATGTTTTCAAGTCGAGTTACAGTGTTGTTATATGATAAAGCTTGTTTCCGATTGTTAAGGTAAGAGCGAAAACATTTTAAATTGTTATTTCTTATTCTATAATTATACAGTTTATAAAGAAGAATTTTGTGGTCAACAGTGTCAAACGCTTTTGAGAGATCAAGAAATACCCCAAGAGTATATTTATTGTTGTCAAACCCTTTTAAAATTTCATTGACAAGTTTGGCTACAGCGTTTTTTGTTGAATGGTGTTTTTGAAAGCCATATATGTTATTATTTAGCAGGTGGTGGTTTACTAGATAATTGATTAGCCTATTGTGCATTATTCACTCTAATATTTTTGAAATGCATGGCAAAATAGAAATAGGCCTGTAGTTAGAAGCAATAGAATCATCTCCGCTTTTAAATATAGGAACAAACTTTGCTAACTTTAGCTGGTCAGGGAACACCCCATTTTTTAAAGACAGATTACAGATATGCAGAAGGGGATATTCTATAATATCGTAGACATTTTTTACAACAATTACGCTAGTGTCATCTAGTCCTGGTCTTTTGTTTTGTTGTAATGTATTAAATGCATTTTTAAGCTCAACCAGAGTTATTTCAAGCTCGTTCATGACTGAGGCTTTTTTTCTTAGATACGATTTATAACAATTTTTTCCAGGAGTTATTTTATTAGCTAATTTTTCCCCAATTTTTATAAAATAGTTATTAAATTTTTCTGCAGTATCTGTTGCCTTATTGGCTAATGCATCATTTTCATCTGTTTTTAAGTATTGCGGGAACACTTTGATAGCATCTTTTTTTTTCCCTATTACCTCTTTTATTACGCCCCATGTTTTTTTGGTGTTACCGCAATAATTTTCTAATAAATTGCAATGATACTTTATTTTTGAATGTTTTTTTAATTATTCAAATAAATTTTTTTATTATTTATATATTTTTTCATTTTTAAAAGTCTTTTTTTTCAAAAATTTTTCATGAAGTTTTTTTTTTTTTTTTTGAAGATTTAATAAGCCCTTTTGTCATCTATGGACTTTTAAGGTTTTTGAGTTTAGCTGATTGTTTAAGCTTCGGAAACGCTTTTTTCGTACCAACTTGTAAAAGTTTGTTTAAAAACATCGTAAGCTGTGTTAGTGTCTTTGCAATTAACAACCTGATCCCAGTTTTCCATTGATAAGTTACTTCGGAACTTTGTTATATTTTTTTCATTTATTTGCCTTTTTGTTATAATCATTGTTTTGTTTTCTTTTTTGTTGTTGAAATAGTTAAGTAGAAGAAATATCGGAAAATGATCACTTATGTCAGATTTTATTATTCCGCTTTGAATATTACATTTTATGGTATTATTTGTAAATATGTTATCAATTAGGGTAGCAGTTCGGAGAGTTACTCGAGTTGGCTTATTTATTAAGGGTACTACGCCGTGCTATAAGAAATTATTTAAAAAGCGTTTGACATTGTTATTAGTTTTTATTTTTGAAAGATCCAAGTTAGTATCTCCCATTATGTATAAGTGCTTATTTTTAGCTAGTTCTGGGTACTGAATTATATGTTTTTTAAAAGATTTTATATTGCCATCTGGTGGTCTATATAAGCCAGTTATATACGCATTTGCTTTACTTTGGTTTTTTAATTCAACCGTGAAAAGTTCACATTCACTTTTTTAAAGTGTATTGTATCATGTATGTAGAAACATATTGTTCCGCCAGTATCTCTACTACGAGTTTGATGGAGAGCTTAATATCCTTGTAATTGAAAATTTGAGTTTATGGTATTTTCGTCTTTGCACCATGTTTCTAAAAGGCATATTACCGTAAACTCGTGACTTATGTCTTTCAGCATTTCTTTAAAGTTTTCAAAGTTTTTGCTCATGCTGCGTATATTTAATGACAGCGCTAAAAAAGTATTTTGTGACGCATTGATAAAACAAAATAATTTTTCGATAACATAGTAATTAGACATAAATGAGTTGTTTTCAAAATTTTTTTTGCCAGGGTCATTGTTATTGTTCAGAAGAAGAGTGTTTTCTTTATCAAAAATTTCAAAATATTTTGTTTCCGTCATTGTCATAATTAAAAATTTAACTGTTTAAAAAACAAAAACAAAAAAAATTAAATATAATAAGATATATAAATATATTCATATGCGTGTAAGATATAAATATAAGAAATAAGAGTTATTATTATTTTTTTTGATTTTGTTTAATTTAATAATTTTATTGTACCTTAAACCAACATTTTCACCATTATTGCGTCTTTCTTTTAATTTCAGCCAGGAGTCTTTTCCTAATATTACCAGTCTCATAGGAAAAATCTTCATTTAAGTAAATGTTTGTACCTTTTAGTCTATATGTTTCTTTTAGAATTTTTGTTTTATCATTGTACCTTAACAACTTCATTATAACTGTTCTGGAGCTTCCGTCTTTTCTGGCTCCAGTTCGATGAGCTCGTTCAACTTCTATTCCATTTAGCCCCAACTTATTTACTAAAAATAATTTGATATTATCCTCAGTTTCATTCCATGTTTCTTTTACACTTTCTGGTAACCCGTCTATTCTTAAATTATTTCTTCTCGATCTATCTTTAAACTTTCTTAGCTTTTCATATATATTTTGCGTTGTAATATTTTCCTTTTCTACTCGCTCGTTGTTTTGTTTGTGAATAGTTGCGATTTTTTTGTCAAAAACTTCATCACAAAAATTTAAGCTCAATTTTATGTCTTCGATATCTTTTACTATTATCTTTATTTTGTTTGCATTTTCTTTAGAGTTTTCTTCTACTTTGTCAAGTCTCTCCAGGGGCGTTTACAGGAAATTTTTTGGGTTAGTCCAAAAAACTTTAACTATAGAATTAATACAATGAAAATGTATTAATTCTATAGTTTGAGAAATAGGAAAAGTAAAACTTAAAGTTACTTACCGACAAAAACCTTCTCTAAACTATTAATCTCTTCAACACAATAGTCTGACATTCCATACTTTGGATTTAAGTCATTATTCCAAGACTTAATATACAAAAGAGCCTCACTGATTGAATCCTCAGTTTCGTTTTCACATACAAATAATCCAACCACTTGATAATCAATATTGGTTTTTACCACAAAAAAGAAAAGTGGCAATGCATAACGTGTGGTACGATATGTTGCATCCAATAAAACTAGTTCATTACCATATTTAGCTAACAGCCTCTTCTGCCATTTATTTTGATAGACAAAGAGCAAAGAGGTTTCACTTGCACCTGTTAGTTTCACATTATCATCTTCATGGTCACTGTCTACAGTAAGGTCTTTTTCAAAATGCCCTAAAATCAAAAAAAAATTGTTTTACTAAAAGCAAAGCAGAAACTATTTTTAAGAAAACTGTAGTAATAACAATAATTGATCAGCTGTGGTGCAGTGGTAGCGCACTTGCCTCAGAAACAAAGGATCCATGGTTCAAACCCCATCTCTGGGCAAGTTTTGCAACATCGGTTAGAAAGGAGGCGCGAATAAATGCTCATCCGCCATGCTCTGTGATAAGACAATAAGGACTTCTTGTGGCACCTAAATAAATATAAAAAAACAAAACAACAAACCTTTAGGTCTAAAGAATATACTTATAGTAGGATCTAATGCTCTCCATTCCTTAATTTTTGACTGAAGACATTCTTGATCAATAAGAGATTTACTTAATTTTCGTCTAGAAATTGTTATGTGATTGTGGATAGTGGAATTACGGGGATAAAATCTTTTATTTGAGAATTCTGGTAGAATATGACCGGCTTTACTGAAACTGTTTTTCACTTGGATTTTTAATAAGCGCTTCATTTCTTTTGTGCTCAATACACCTTCCTTAACATACATGTCAATAGCAGATACCAGTTCAGGGTCAATTCTCTGAGTTATACCAGCATCCTTATAGAAATTTGTAAGTATAAATGTATTTTCATATAATATACACACAAAAGAATATAAACATGGATAAGATCTAAACAAATTAATAGATTAAACTTAAAATACCTTGGTAATTATATGACCATTGTGTGCTTAAATATCTGGTACTGCAACACAAAATTTTCTGATTTGATAGATTTTTTTCTTAGATAACATTATCGCATATCGTAGCTCTTTTGATTTTGCTTTTCTATTTCTGACAGTATCCAATATAAGCTAAAAATAACAGAGTAGCATAAACAAAAGACATACATAATGTCTACATACACATATAAATAAATTTATTAATACATTGATTATAATCTTTTTTTAAACAGTTATAGCAAGTATAAACATGCCTATACTATTTTGAAAAAATAATAAAAGTTGCAATGAAATAAAATCTGACCTGACCAGAAACATTTTTTTAAAAGATTACTTTAACATCTTAATCAGGAGGTAGGTTTACAAACATTAAAACCTCCTACTTACTTTATATTCTGGAAATTCTAAGTATTCTGTTATGATAAGTTGAGCTGGGCAATCAAATTTCTTACAATTCTGTATTCTAGCATATTTTCTTCTGCAATCATGATCAATGTTCTATAAAAAGATTTTTTAAACTCAAATTTAGAAAAAAAAAAATTTTTTTTGTTAATTTTAAAATGAAATTTTTGTATGTTATAAAAAAAAATTATTTATTGCTTTAAATACAATTAACTCACTAATGCTTTTCTGTTTTGTTTGTTGTATTCTTTCCTACTTAAGTTTCTATCATATCCATGATGGCAATCAAAAATTTTTGTGCCAATCATCATGAATGGTATACCAGAAAACTCAATGGAATCAGTAGACCAATAATTTTGTGGGGTTTTTTCTTTAAATCTATTTAAAAAAAGTCTAATTTTCAGAACTTTTTAAATAATAGTGGAATATTGTTTAATTTATCGACATATTAAAATACACATATACATAATTTAATGTTTATTATAACAGTTTTTTATTATTATAATAAATAACGATTATGAGGGTATCAATATCCCCTTGAAATTATTGTAAAAATAAATATATTTTAACAAATAGGAGTAAATCTATAAAAAAAAATTTATTAAAAAATATCTCAATATTGGTTTCTTTGATTTTGAGATAAGTATGCAGTATTGTTATATTTCATTAGATTTTCTATTTGGTCAAACTACGATTGATGCAGTTTATACAGAAATATCTATAGTTAATACAAAATTAATTTTTATTATTACCCAATGTATGGCAACAAATCAAATATTCAATTTTTTCTCCAGCAAACTGTCATATTGGCACTTATCATAAATTGACCAATAGCCACAGCTATCTTTCTATCTATCTATCTATCTATGTATCTCTCTCTCTCTCTCTCTCTCTCTCTTTATATCTTTATATATATATATATATATATATATATATATATATATATATATATATATATATATATATATATATATATATATATATATATATATATATATATATATAAAGAGGTTTATAATATATATATATATATATATATATATATATATATATATATATATATATATATATATATATATATATATATATGTATATATATATATATATATATATATATATATATATATATATATATATATATATATATATATACATATATATATATATATATTATAAACCCTTGGAAATTTTTACGCAATAAAAGAATTTTTTTATTGGGTAAAAACATGCAGAGGCAGGGAGCCAAAGCTATATATATATATATATAAATACATATATATATATATATATATATATATATATATATATATATATATATATATATATATATATATATATATATATATATATATATATATATACACACACAAACACACACACACATATATATATAAATATATTGATATGCAATATACCAGTATTTCCAAAGTCTTTGGTAGAAAAGGATGTACTAAATCGAACAGTATACTCAAGTTCATGGTCTTTAATAAGTATGTGTGCTTCATCCAAATTTGATGCAGTTTTATAAAGCGGCATAATTAACTAATTTGCATTACTAAAAAAAACAGTGGTATATATATATATATATATATATATATATATATATATATATATATATATATATATATATATATATATATATATATATATATATATATATATATATATATATATATATATAAATACACATATATCTTATTATACTGCCACTTATTGGGACAAGTTTAAATAAAAAATGAATACTTAAAGTGGAAATAGTAAAGAAATTTTTGTTTAACTTCAGCTTTTTAATGTCATTTGTATCGCTATATTTGCAAGTTTTTATATATCTACCATCACCTTTGAGATACAAGAAATCTCTTGCGAATTGAGAGATTTAAGAGACTAAAGTTTAGTACCCCAGACTTTGGGTACTAAACTGAAATTTAGTTTTAAGATAGATATGGTTTTAGAATGTCACTTCAGTGCAGAGTTGTTAGTACTTGGGCTTAGCCAAGTACTAACAACTCTGAATTTAGGCTTTGGCCTTGAAACTGTTGGCCTTGGTCTTGAAAATATTAAATACAAGTTACAGTTTTGTGAAGAATTGGCCTTAACGCTAAGCAAAAATTGAAGTCCTAAAAAACCTTGGGTACGTCTCGGCCTTGAAATTCCTGATCTTGGCCTTGACCTCAAAAATTTTGGCCTTGGCCTTATCCTTGGTCTTGTAAATTGTGGCCTTGGCCTTGCTACTTTTGGCCTTGTGACAACTCTGTGATAACTCTGTGATAACTACTTTTGGCCTTGTGACAACCTTGTGATAACTCTGCCTAAGTGACATTCTGAAAACCACATCCATCGTTTCCTCACTAAGAAAAAAAAATATGCAATGCATATTTTATTTACACAGTAAAATTTAAATTTTAAGTGTGTGTTTTTTCCAGATTTATAAGTACTTATATTAAAAATTGCGCATTTAATTACATTAAAGGATAAAAAAAGTAATTGTAGTCGATTCTTTATAATAATATGTAACAACTCCGGGAGGGTGAACGATAATTTACGGCATCCGTTTCAATTTTGAAAACGAGGCGTACTTTTGACTTCTACTATATATTGCTAACCCGGCTTTAGGTTCGGGCAAGTTAGTCCAACCGTTTCGCCACGGCTTGAGATCCTACATGGAGAAAAACCATGAAGTTTATCTGACAGCAAGCACAGTTAAAAAATGCCTGCAGCAAGGTGGTTTGAATGGGAGAATTGCTGCGAAGAAGCCTTTATTGCGACCTGATAACATCGCGAAAAAAAGAGTATTCGCGAAGTTGCACAAAACCTGGACTGTCCTACAATGGAATAAAATGCTATGGAGTGATGAAAGTACCTTGTTAGGAGAATAGTTGGTGAATGATTTAGTCTTCTGTGTGTTAGTGAATGGTTTAGTCCTCTCATACAGTAAAGCATGGAGGAGGCTCTCTTATGGTATGGGGTTGCATGTCAGAATCAGGTGTAGGTCATTTATATTGTTGTACAGGCATGGGAAACCAAGATAAATATTTGGAAATATTAAAAACGCAAATGAAACCATCAGCAAACAAACTGTTTGGTAAAAACAAACCATTTTTCTTTCAACAAGACAATGCTCCTTGCCACAAAGCTAAGAAAGTAATAAAATATCTCAAACATGCTCGTACCAATGCTATTGAATGGCCTTCACAAAATCCTGACCTGAACCCCATTGAAAATTTGTAGGAGGAACTCTTCAGAAAAGTACAGAAAACCAAACCCAGCAATCTGGATGATTTGTGGCAACATTTGCAAACTGCATGGCTAGCAATCCCTGTTGACACCATCCAAAAGCTGGTACAATCTATGCCAAGACTTGTGCAGGCCGTGCTTGATGCGCATGGAGGGCATACAAAATACTAGTCTTTTAGTCAGAATTTCTTATGTTTTATTAGTGGCGCTTATTACTGACAATGCAGAGTCATTTTTATTTTAATGTGATGCTGTTTTATTTATATTGTGCCAAAAATGTGTATACATGTATATATATATATATATATATATATATATATATATATATATATATATATATATATATATATATATATATATATATATATATATATATATATATATATATATATATATATATATATATATATATATATATATATATATATATATATATATGCAATGTGAAGTTATATATATTTTTTTAAAACATATATTTGTAATTTAAAAACTTATTACTTTATTATTATACTATATATTATTATTATACTATAATACTATTATTGCTGTTCAGATTGTCTGTTTTAAATATATAGTTTTTTCTTTTAGTTTGTGCATCGACTTCTCACGAATTATACACAGAGTCGATTGTCGATGCAATAATTGCTGATTCGTGAAAGCGGGCAACTTTTGCTTGTCTTAAAGTGCCTTAAATCCAACAGATATCATCGTTACAATATTACTTTGTTTGTAAATTGTTTTAAAAAATAAATTTAAAAATAACTTTTAAATAAATTTTTTATTTTTTTTGTTTTTTAAACCAACAGGTTCTTTTAAAAACAATTTAATAATAGTACCTATGGATTTAGGAATATTTTCTAAAAAATAACGTCTTTTAAAAGTTTAAAAGACGTTTTTTTATGGTTTAATTTAGGTTATTTGAGAACGTTTTTTAAGCGTTTTTTTTAGAACGTTTTTTAAACAACTTTTTTAGAACGTTTTTTAAACGCTTTTTTAAAAACGTTTTTTAGGTATTGCCATTCAGAACGTTTGAAAAACGTTTTTTTTCTTAGTTAAAAAAACGTTTTAAAAACGTTCATGTGCTTACTGGGAGACGAAGTTGAGACGTCTCTTTTCTGCAAGTTTTTGATACATATAAAATAAAAAAAGATTATAATAAGATAATATAATATGGATCGTCTTTAAGAAGTTATTTGAATTTTTTATTTTTTTATTTTTATACGTATCATGAATTTGCATAAAAATTAGACGTCTCAATTTTGTCTCACAAATGCCCAAAAAAAGATTTATTGTATGTGAAGGTCTTTAAGACGTTTTTTAGATGACTCATTTTTATCTCATATGAATCAAAAATTTACCATAAAAATTAGACGTCTTAACTGCGTCTAACAGATACCCGAAAAAATAAATCTCATTTGTGAACGTCTTTAAGACGTTTTTTAGAAGACTCATTTTTATATTTTAAAAAATACATTTTTATCTTTTAAAAAATATAATTAAAAATAAAATTCTTATATTTAAAATTCTTATATTTAAAAAAAACATTTTTATCTTTTAAAAAATATAATTAAAAATAAAATTCTTCGAGGCATCTCCTTAGAACAATTCAAAAGAGAATCTAAACGTTTTCTATTAGAAAAAACTTTCGATTTTAAAGGTTTCTTCTAAAATCACCTAAAATAATTAAACCTGAAAAAGTCATCACTACTCATTTACTATTGTCTTGTGTATCTTGTTTATTTCTTATTAAAATAAAAAATATATATACTATTAATTTTGAACAGACAAATAACATTTATTCGATTTATTACTTGTGTCTTATATTTGTCGAACTAATATTGTATTGTACTTCAATTTTTAACCTTTTAGTTTTTAACTTGTAACTTTGTGACGTTAATGTAAACGGGGCTTGGCGATAAGACAGTTTATGTCTTCTTCTTGCTCCGGCCAATTTTTATACATGAATGGTTTTTTCTCATTGTAAATTTAATTATACGGCAAAGAAAATATAATAATAATAATAATAATAATATCTTATATGTATCAAGAATTTGTATAACAATTGGACGTCTCAATTTCGTCTCACAAATGCCTGAAAAAAGACATCTAATATGTGATAGTCTGTAAGATGTTTTTTAGATGTCTTATTTATGTTTCTTCGGTATCAAGAATTTGCATAAAAACTAGATATCTCAACTGCGTCTAACAGATGCCTGAAAAAAGAATTCTTGATGTGATCATCTTTAAAACATAGTTTAGATGTCTTATTTTTATCGTAGACGTCTCAAGACGTCTGAGACACCTAAAAGTCGGCGCTGTGCCGGCTGGGAATAATAGCAGCGCGCTATCCAACTGTGCTATCCGAGCTCAATCTCTGAACTTAATAGTGCGCTATCGAGCCTGTTTGACACGATGCTCTTGGCAACCATTGCATCCGAGGTAGTGACGAGAAAAAGTCTCACCTTTGCTTTATAAGAAAACGTGAGCAAACGTGAAACTTATGTCGTACGTACCTAGACTTCATGTTATGTAATGTTAAAACATGCTTAAACATATATCAAGTTCTTCAGTTTGATTTTCACTTAAGAACTGCATTTCGTCAACCTCTGCTTGATTTCTGATCTTTTGTATTTATATCCGTTAATATTAACTTGTATATAATTTCAAATTTCCAACCTAGAACTTGGTAGTGTAGAAGAGTGGTTAATGCGCTGAGCTTATAATCAAGGTATCCATGGTTCGAGTCCTACCAAGGGCAACTTTCGTTTTTTAATTTTTTTGCGCATGTGTCATTATTGAGATACTTATGTTATTTTAGTAAAACCTTTTAAGTTTATTCACAACTAAATTGAGTTTGTACAAAAAAACATCTTTATATATATAATATAAAATCTATATAACTTTTGATTAGCATTTTAAACACCAAAACCGCGTGGCAGGCTGATTAACTTGCCACGCGGCGACCTTAACTTTTTTTTAAAAACGGTAAGGGGGGTTAAAAATTATATTTTTATTAAGAACATAATTAAAATTTTGCATGTAAACTAAATTATTTTATAAAATTTGTTTCTAAAAATAATTAAAAGTTAAAACTATTTAATATTATCATAATAAGGAAAATTAGAGATTTTCAGCTATTTATCGACGCCCCTGTTAAACATTCTTAACCGAGAGTGCATCAATTACTTTAATGATTTAAATGAGATGCACGAGGCACTGTAGTGCTATAAGTATTTAAATTGCTTTTTAAACTTTCATGAATCTCCAAATATCTTTGAATATCTCTTTAATCATTATCGTAAAGCTATAATTATTCAATATAC